AATGTTTTGACCAGGCACTTGTTGTCAACTATACTAGTTCAATTAAAATGTTTCATAAATTAACATATTGTTATAGTTTATATATTTAGGTAATACGTTTTTTAAATAATTATAAAGAAATTAGAAGGGTATGTTATGAAATTCGTTATTATTATTTACAATGTTTGCATTTCAAATAACATTTATTTTCTGTATATGTTGGTAAACAGTGCGAGACGATTTGCTTACGCGCGCCATATGATTTTCGTGAAAATTTTGCGTGAACGACGTTCGAGTTAGAGATGAGCATTCGCGAAAATGACTGTCTGGTGAAAACATTTGTCTAATTTTTAATAAAGTTCGTTGAAAGAGCCAATTATTTAATTTTATTTATTAGTCACCATCTTTGAAAGTTAATATAAGTAGGTTTATATTTTTTTCTTAAAAAATTAAGTAGAAATTTTGTTATTTCTTATAACCCCTCTAGTTGCAAAACGATGTACCTAGGTATATTGCAATCCAAAACTATAGTCATTTTTTTATTAATAATTTAAGGGGTGATAATATTGGTAAAGTTCTCTTATTTGTATTTAATTCGTTAATTTTGTCATTTGGGTGTATCCTGTGCTGATGTTTTTGTAGTAAAAACTTTCTAGTAAATGCTAATGGGCATGCATTACATTTAAATGGTCGATCACCAGTATGTACAAGAATATGTCGTTTTAAATCAGTTGACCACCCAAAAGTCCTCTCACAGTAAGAGCATATATATTTTTTTCGTTTTTTAATTACTTTGGAACAATGAGAACTATTGTTCTTTGCTGAACTTTTTGAATTGACGTTCGAACAGTTTTCTGTCTTTGATGAGCTTTTTGGTTTACTATCCTCTGCTTCTGAAATAGTTACCTCACAATAATTCAACGGATTAACAAAATCCTCTATACCAGAATCCACAGTGTCTTCTTCTTTGGCAATATTTTGTAGCATTTGCTTAACATTGGCACTCAGTGGTAATTCCGATTTCCTTATTTTTTGAATAGGATACAAATCTGGTATCTTTGTTACATTACTTTTTCTTGTTTGGCGTTGCTGACTACCCTCATGGTTACCATAGTCTAAAGGCTCTTTAACGTGTAAGGCAAAATGTTTTAATAGTTGAGATGCTGATGAGAATGATTCTCCACATTCTGAACATGACAAATCTGTAAAACATCAAATAAAAAACGGCAAACAGTAAATGATTGAAATTTACCACTAAACGACATCATTTGTTGAAATGGTTCAGAAATTATTTACATTAATGGTTATCATAAGAATAGTAACATTTGGAAATAATCTAGCTGAAGCTCTAAAGTTATGATAGCCAAAAATCTATAAAAATTCTAAGTAATAGCAACTATTATAAGGCTGGTCTGGTGTCTGCAAAGTTTCCAATTATTGAAGTATTTACTTTAGCCAAAATAAAAAAATTACCTACAATGCAAGTCAGTACGAGTTAATACGTTAACATTAAGATAGAGGCTTGACATTTACTTAATTTTTTTCTTATTTCGAACTTTATGAGCCCCTTTGAGCACAAAAATTCAAAAATTGTTAAATAAGGACCATCCTATAAGTAACTTTACGTAAATATGAATAACTTCACGAATTCATTCTAAACCTTTTTGTACTTGTGTTGATATAATCATACAAAAATTTTACTCATAAGGTACAAAAAATAAGCAAAAGCAATAATTTTGATACCACTATTATGTTAAAAAATTCTTCCACAGTTGCAATCTTATTATTTTAAGTTATTGTAATTTTAAATATATTTAACTATATATATA